GCTTCCACTGGTCCACAATATATCACACACATTCAAGAAAATGTCCTAGGCAACAGTATTTCACTGCCTCGCTGCACTGCAATTTCCAGGCACACAGGTACTTATTTTCTGACACTTTTGTACTTGCATATTTAAAGTAAAAATATAGAGACATACACTGACTGAATCATTATTTTGTCTCATAAATCACAAAAGTACTTTACCTGTTTTAGGGTCAACAGAGAAGTATGGCTGGCCATGGAGGATGCTGTATACCACTCTAGCACTGTTTCCATAGGTAGGGTCATCTGCATCTGTGGCTGTCACTTGCGTCACATATGTCCCTGAAGAAAAAGGGTGGGACGACATGTCGACTTTGACTTAATTTGTTTCCTCGTGACACTGAAATCCAAACTCTTTGAAGTTCATCAGTTTACCGAACAATCTCACCTGACATTAATGAATGATGAACCACAACTGAGAAAGGTACAGCTAATACTGAACAGTCAAAGTCCCTGATAGAGTGGAGAGAGAGGAGTGTGGAGTAGAAAGGTTGAGATGTTGTTCAAGCTTCCTGTTGTATGTTTTTGATTTGAACAGTTGTAGCACCACTAAGTGGGCTTTTTAAAAAAAAAATAAAGCAAGGGGGAAAAAAGCTTGTGTGTGGCCATTCATTAAACAGCGCTAACATTAAGAAAACAAAAGACCGTGGCAAGAATAGTATTAGGATGGCAGTCTTCCAAACTCCTGTCGTAAGAGGGACAGAATAATTACTTGTTGGAGGTTTGGCTCACCCCCCTTAACTAACTGGCATTGAAAACCCTATTCCATTAACATGTCCTTTTTTACCATGTATTTACATTCAACAGATTCAATACAAAGTTTCCAGTTTTGGAAGAGTTACCAAACACAAAATCACTTGTCAGCCTGATTATTTTGTAAGAATTTATAAGACACATGCCTGGTGTTTCTTGGGCAGATGGGCAGATTCTTCAGAAACACTACTTGCAGACAGGCAGACAGCTCTGTGCACATAATGTCCATGTATCAATCACATACGTACACCTGGCTAGCTTAAAAACAAATTTTCAGCTGCAGGAATTGTGGAACACTTGCTATTAACAGTAGACACTGACCAGAGGGATTTCATTTACATGGTCATTTTAAATGCTGATAAGCTCCTAGTTGCCTGTAAAGAACTTGCTGTATATTAAATAGGCTTTGCAGTCTGAGCACTCGGAAACAATGGCATTAAATCATTAGGTTAGAAAGATTAGTGTCTCTGTTGTCCCTAACAAAGCCACACATGCCTGATTAGACATGCCAGAGAAGGCCTGCATTGTGTTGAACGCAAATATACAACAGATGAGATAATACATGAACACCTTTCAGTTGAGCAAAGGAGAGTAAATCCACAGCTCTAACAAGTCAAATGTAGGGAATGTTTAAAAGCCTTTAAGTGTGGCTGACACCTACGCATTTCCGAGTGACAAAAGCAACAGCCTTTACCCTCGGTGGTAGACAATAAACACGATGAATATTTTCAACAATTATGGAATTCAGGCGTGTGATTAAGAACTAGGTAAAAAGAATGGCTTCAAAGATCACTGCTGGTAAACACAGATGTGAATGCAGACCAGTTTTGAAAAATATAGATCATCTATCTGGCTTCATTAAATATTCATTATATTATAATATTTGACAAATTACAAAGCGGAGGAAACCAATTAACATAGCAAAATATACAATGTGCACAGATTTAGTATTCAAACATGAAGAGAAAGAGGAATTAGTGCAGTCAAAAGACTGACCCGATTGGGATGTTCGCACAGTTGTGTAAAAGTCTCATATAAACAATTTGAAATGCAAGTTTGTAGACATGGAGTGAAATCAACACATTTATCAAGCCTAAGACATTTTGTAGTATTTTTTTTTTAGGCAACTCTCTCTATATTGCTGACAGTAGCATTACTCTGCATAATCTGGTAATTATCAACCATTTTCGGTCTTAGTTATCATTTTTATGGTCTGTAATGGGTGACAGTGATTATTGTTTATTTTAAAAACCCAGTGTATTTTGTCTTGTTTTATAATCAGTCACATTCCTTCATTTGCCTTACTGTAAGAAGTTATTTTGCGATTTCACTTGATTTGTAGCTTTACTGTATGCAGCACTATGATATTTCCAGTCCCAGCACAAAAAAGCACTGAAAGATTTTTGATGATTTTATTATGATTAGATATTGTTCCCAAGATCTTGATTACATATTCTTAAATGTAGAAAATTACCTTTACGGTATTCTTTCTTTAATGCTTTCTTAAACATTACTAATTATTCAACAAATATCTAATACACAAAATACTGTAAATTCAAATGTAGCCTAATCCTAAAACATAATCAGTCAATCAGTCACATTTTGGCTGTAATTATTTTCTCGAGTGACTGCCATTATAAAATCATGACATGTGGGGTCTTAATGTTGTGGATGTTACATTCTGTAGGTGGTTTTTAAAGCTAATCTCTGAATACTGTTTTATGGTCACACTAGATGTGTATTTGATAAACTTGAAAGCTTTTTCTAATTCTACAATAAACAGCTGCAGAGCAGCTTATGATTTCAAGTGTTCACTGGGGCTAGGCTATGTTGTTCCTGCTTTCTAACCATACTCTAGAGACTGCTGCGTTTGGAGTTTTGAGGGCTTCATTGCCATTCAGATCAAGAGGAACGATTCTCCCAGCGAATTACCTTGATCTGCTCTCTCTAGGGGGAATGTATAAAGACAAAGCTGTAAAATACACCCAGGGCACACCAAGAACAACTGGTTCTCTGAAATGGGGGGGTAAGCAGCTTTGTCCCTCTGGTTGTACCTGTGATGCTCCTGAAACTCAACTTTGTATTCTATAGTTCAAGAGGAGAAAACTACGTTTTCAGTGCAAAGGATTCTAATCAATTAGGGAAAGTACTGGCTTTTCTATTTTTAGCGGACAGAACAAGACACTGCAGATGGTCACTTACCTACAGGTGACATCTCAGGGACACTGGCTGTATATGGTCCCTCTAGGAACTTTGGCTCATTGTCGTTGATGTCTTGAACCTTGATTACAAATTCTGATTCAGGCTCTAAGGGCCTATTGGTAATGATGTCAACAGCCTGGGCGCGTAAGGTGTAGTAAGGCTTCTCCTCTCTGTCAAGGCTTCTTAAGGCATGGATGTCCCCCGTTGTTTGGTCAATTGTGAAAATAGTGCCAGCCCCGTCCCCCGAGAGAGTGTACTTTACGGCACTGTCCCCCTTATCGAGGTCAGTGTGCAGCTGAAAGACAAAAGAGGAAAAAGACAGGTTGGGTCCGAAACATTGGCACAGATAATGATTCATTGAAAGCACTGGGGAAGAGCTGTCAACGAACACTATATCACAAAGACAGTCAAGGAAACTGACATCAAAGAGTAAATTCATGTCTCTGCAAAGATCTACAAAATACTAAATCTCGAGAAAAATAAAATGATTGTACTTTCAGAACGTTTCACAGATTAATGAGGCTAAATCTTTCATAAATAATGTATTCTCTCAGTGCAATTATGCTGCAGTGACAACTCTCCAGCACTGTGGACCCATTTCTATTCAAGCATGACTCCAAAAAATTCCTTTATACGAGACTGGAGATAGGAGTTTTTCTCAAAGTGACAAAGATCAGACTGTGAAAACTAGAGGTAAACACTCGTTTTCCACAGGAACAATTTTTAATGCGTTCACCTGACAGCAGAGGTCTGTAACCAGATGACTCTCAGCACAGTTGCAAAATATCACTACTCGAGCCAGAGAACATCTTTGTTAATATAGATCCAGGGCCACAGCTCTCTTTGTACAAGACAAATACATTCTGGGCTGGTGGCAAAACGCTTATTGACATAGTTATGTTTACTGCCCCGGCGAGATCAGTCATACAATTCAAAGCCTTTTAAATATTTAAGGACTCTAATGCAATGTGATCATCACCATATATGGATATGGATTTTTGCCTTCTTAACGATGGCATGGAATTTCCACCAACACTGTTGAACAGCAGTCTTATTTCAGGACAGGATGAGGTGGAGGTGGAGGTGGAGGTGGATGGGTGTTAATAATAATAAAAATGCAGTTAATATATATGTTTTTATTAACCATGACCATGATCTTTCCCTATCCTTAACCAAATGGTTAGGTGCTGAACCCTAATCATATCTAAACCACAATGTATGTACAATATCCATGATCTTTTCCCAGCTTTACCATGGCATAGCTGCCATGTACTAGCTAATGACTGAATGAATCCAAATACTGACACTGTCTTTTTTTTTGAATTTGTCTTTTTTTCCCACCCTACTCGTGAAATATAGAGCTATCCTTTGAACATATGCAATTTTCCAGTGGACGTCTATGGAAGTGCCAGCCATGGAGGTAAGAGGAAATTTTATGCAGCTTTAAATTATATGTAGGTTACGAAAACAACCCAAGACACCACTGGGAGTAATTCAGTCCAAATTGCACAGCTCACACAAGCATGGCATGACATTATTATGTTCTCACCCATGGTGAATTATTCATTGCTCTTCAAATGAATGAGAATTATTTTTACTACATAACCCTGGTTGGGTCCCATATTATTTTACGCAATGAGCACAAATCTGAAATGTAGATTATGTACTGGCCATATAAACAATATCAACAGAATGTTACTCCTCCACAAACTAGATTATCTGACAATAAAACAAAGTAGATTACAAAACTAAACTCTTTGTGTACTTGGCACTAGGTTATACAAGGTCAGCTAATTGTTGTGTTTTGGGAAACTTGAAAATATACATTTTTAAATAGTTTTCCTCTACAATTTGCTTTTGGTAGGCACTATATCTAAGGGTTACCATTATTATTATTATAAGTGTTATGATACCCAAGTTTACTTTATGATTAACATGTCCAGTCTTCTAACAAGAAAAAAGGTAAAGTTTATTCCAGGCTATATTTACCTCACCTGTTTTTCATGGGCCTTGCCAGCATTTTATACCCTTGCTACAAGGAGACAAAACAAGGGTTCAAGGGAACGACAGAGGATATTGACGCCCTTCCTTGAAATAAATTGGAACCCAAACTAAGCTGCCATCTTTGTCTCGGGCAATTCGGAGTTCGCCTCGCATTTCCAGGTGAAGAACGCGGTTCAGAAGGAAACATTGAAATGAAATGCATACACTCAGCGCTTACCACCTCAAAAAACAAACAAACAAAACGGTAAAAGAGAAACGGCTCCAGGTAAATTTGGCTAATTTACTTGGTTGAATTGACAATCGCTGATAAAGTTAAACTGCGCAGGAGGAGGACACCTAGCTAAAAGATGCAGGTGTGCAAGCCCCGCTGAGATTCTGCCAAGATGTGAGCTTTAGCAAGAGAAGATGAAAAGTTAATTAATGCAACCTGGATATACAGAGCATTGGACGACGTTTTGAAAACACCTGGAAGTAACGTCACACAAATGCTAGCTTTAATGGCTTTCCTTGGCCACAATGTAATGTGCACAATTATTACGCCAAGGAGACTTTTCTAAAGGGGAAAAGCCACGCAGCTGGGAAAAAAGCTTCCATCGCCTTGGAAAAGGGCGCTAGCTTTACAGCAGCACACTGGGATAGGGAAAACATATTTTGGATGAATAACATTAACTGTTATGTGTCTAGAACCAAGACACAGTGAACACATGGCGTCTTCTCCACCTATTAAAGGAACTATGACAGAACTTGAGGTGAACTTCATTAGACATCCACATTACGCCTGGTGGCAACTTGGGAATTTGAATTTTGGACAGAGATGGAGTTCGCTATGGACTGGATGAATGGTGACCTCAAAAGGTAGGATATGACTCTTATCTTATGTTTTATTCTGTTTTAAGTGTGTAAGTGTATAAAGGGTTTGTGGGGTCATTCATTAAAGTTTAGCCTACTGACTTCAGTGGAATTGTGGTTGATAAAATATTCGATTCTTATTATTTTATTTCAAACATATTGCCCAGTCATATGTGCTTGCCATGGTGTGCACAGATATAGCAAATAATATTCACTTGCCATTATGGGATTGTGGCTTCTATTCTATTCATTTGACTCATCAGGGATTTTTGTGTGTATTGAATTGTGTTTGTTGATCACAGATCTTGTGTCACAATGTGTGAGTATTTGTTTTTACTACACAAAACATGTTTTGTTATCTTTTTTGTTATGTTATAATAAAAAGGATAATTTGATGGTTTTGCTCACAGATGGAATTATGTACTGGAGGGGACATTCGACACACTTAGGAGACATTGTCTGTCTACAAAAGGTAGGACATTGTTTATTCTGTGCTGGTTGGCCGCCGTGTCATCATACTTGTTGTTTTGGTCGCTGTACTTAACTTTGTGCATGCTTGTAGGTACAGTATGTCCAGTATCTCATTGTTTGTAGCACCTGCTGTGGGGATGTTGGCAATGTTTTTTTTTTATCGAGGATCAACTCTTTTGTCTCATTAGTAATGGACATTTATTTATTTGTTTTGTCATCATCTGACTAGTTTGGGAAACACGCTGTGCTGCAATAGTTATATTTATAATATGTAATTTATCATTGTGAGACATGGCATGTCGGTAAAATGTAGGTGTAACGTAGTTTGTAATCGTGAACTTGTAAAATGTAGTTGCACTACTTTTTTTTTTGCATTTCTAAATGCTTTTATCAAATTCCCAGCAACACATGATGATTGCCTTTATGCTTAGAAAAGTGCCAGAAATACACTTAATGGCCACTTTATTAGGTACACCTGTTAAACTGCTAGTTTACATTATCTAATCACGTGGAGGCAACTAGACGTCTGAAGTTCAAACCGAGCATCAGAATGGGGAAGACAGGTGATTAAAGTGACTTTGAACATGTCGAGTGTATATGTGTGTCATACCTCTGTCTACCTGTGACAGCGTTGTTAGAAATGGTTGCTTAGTTCTTGTGTTTTTTGCATCTGGTTTTGTTGGGAAATGATTACACATCAGTCTCCTGAAAAATCAACCGGGCAGAGAGCTCCCTCTCTGATTAAAGTGCCCCCATCAGAAAAATTGGGATGTACTTATTTGAGCGGTAATGCTCATAGTTTTCATTCTGTGATTGTGTGAAATGGCATGTCTGCAGATGAGGCTGCAGAATAGTAATTTCTAACACAAAACTCCTAGTGTTTCAGCCGTATGTGTTTAAACTTCTAACAACAAAGTGAGCTGAAGTGTAATGAGTGCTTTTATCTGAAACATTTATAAACTTTAACTTGAAAAATGTAGATACACTAGCATATCGATTGCTTTTAGAAGCCACATCATCCAATCCAATCATCCAGCAGTAGCATTTTCAGTTGAGCCAAATTAAAGGGAACTTTTTCTTGTGGGCCCTTTGGCCATCGGCAGTATGGTTTACGAGTGTTTTTGCCCTCGGGTGCTCCCCAGAAACTTGTGCTTCCAGGTTGTCTTTTATAAAACACTGTGCATTCCAGTACCCTATGTTTTAGTCAGATAGTAATAGGGATCCTGTAGCTCGTTTGTGTAACTGTTCATTTATTATCCATCGTGTTCCCTAATGTTTTGTAATCCCGCAATCTTTTGCAATCCATTTGTATGAGATAATCTCAAGATGTTAGTATTGTAGACCTTATGAAACTGTCCTGTTAGACAGATGACATGACGATAGCAGTGAACAACAATCTCATTCTTGGCAATGAAAGTTGTTACTCCTTTTGCTTGTGGCGTACCAGAGAGATCAGACTGGCAGATGGACTGTTCTAGTCACAATAGAGTCCGCACTATTTTACTGTTTGGACCTAACCAAGAAAAACACACTGACAGAAAACATAGAGCGGGATCATAAACACCTATGTCCAGTTGTGTGCAATCCAATCCAAATCTCCTGCGGCAAACACTGCAAATATAATTTTCCATTTTTGTTGAGAATATTTGATGACACATTTTTTGATTGCATTATGTTACAAGATTCATCCTAATTTGTCACCCACGCATGTTGGACAAAATAACAAACACCTTAAAATGGAGTCTATACCTTTTTTAGCGCTGAATCAACATCTTTCTGACACAAACTCTAAAATTAAGCATTGTAAGCATTATGTGTTGCAGGGCAATTGTTTTGGATTGCATAATATTATGTTCAGGTGTCCATGATAGTGATTGCATATGCTACACTGCACAAAGGCATTTAAAGGCAGATGGATAGTGAGTGACACTGATTATGGATAATAAAATGATTACTATATTATTGTTATCTATATATAACTATACAGATAACTCACCTGGCTGTTCGAAATGCTTAACAGATGCTGGATTGGGCATTATTATGCTCTGTAATGTAGTATTTTTGTGTGCTGTTGAATAAATGATCACTTTGTATTCATGATTAATGGGGCGTTTACATTTAGCTGTCCTTTTGACTGAAAATAATGAGGTGGGGGGGGGGGACTTTGAGCATTTTTTTCCACATTTGCAGTTTATTCAATACAAGTACCCGGGAGAGGCACCTGCAAATCGATTCAGAACTGCACAATTAAAGATGAAAAAGAAATGCAAATGCTAATATAAAAAAAATAAGCACATAGTCATTAATTGTAAGTGAAAGTTGACTGATATTAATTAAAAATTCCATTACTCTAACAATGGTAATCAATTATATAAAAAGATTAATTAATAGGGAGGCAGACAAGGGCTTCTTTTAAACTACAGAACATGCATTGGACTCAGTAGACAAAAGGCAAAATCACAACATTCTTAGAAGAATGTCAAAAGAAAATTTGTGATGTTACTAAAGAGGGGGAAAAAATGTCCTTTCCTTTCTTGTAGCAGTTGTTTCCAATTTACAACACATCAACCAAAGAAACAGGGTCTGTGCGTGCAGAATTCTAATGATGGCATTACTGATAACCTTATGTAAATCCAAAAGAGCAAACATACATTTGGTTTCCGTAAAGCATGTGCAGAATAACTGACGGAGAGCTGGCGCGTAGAGACAGCATGGTGATGACATGCAGCCATATTATGGTGAGAATGGCTTTACACTCAATTTTTCATGATAAGTGTAATTAGCACTATCCTCTGTTCAGGGTGCCAGTTGACATGGCACCAAAAAAAAGAAACAGGTAGTGTTAGGAACAGAAATATGATTCCTGTTGCCATTCAAACTCAAACCATCTGTTTGAGTAATTATGTTTGCATTCAAGATTGTTTATTTTCTCTCTCTTTGAGTTGTTCAGTGTCCACAGTATTTGAAGATGCCAAGGACTATCAGACATTTTAAATTTACATTTTACACAGTTGGTAAATGCTTTTGTCAAACAGGTGTTTCAGTGATCATGTAGCATTTATGTGACTTGTTTAACCCAATTTTGCCAAGATTTATGGCTTTTTATGAACACACATTAGATAATGCAGGGTTCAAAACTGTGACCTATAATTTTTACAGTGTTCTCTCTAACAATAGGCCATCTTGCCTTGTCTGGAACAGTTGAGACAGATGCAGATGTCCAGCCAGTGCACAACAGTGTTGTCAAAATAATATCAGCAAGAACATTACTCATGTCCTATTAAGCTACTCAACTACTGGTACAAATTGGGAAAATGGTAGCTCATCTAGACTGGCTGTGGAATAGTTAAACACTTTAAAATTGCGCTTTATAGGGAGTTCTTGGCTCTGAGGAAGGGGGGGGGGGTTCCATGTTACTTTCAGGGTTTGCAGCACATGGTCCCTCTTGCAATATGCATTGAACCCACATATTGATTTAATTTGATGATTTCAGAGGAGAATGTAACCAACCTCTGTAGGAAATGCTGTAATTGGATTTCTGCAACCAGGATTACGTAGAGCTCCTCTCAGGAATGCATATGGAAGCCACAACTCTTTGCTGATAGTGAGCCAACGTTGTTGCATGCACGGTCCAGCAACCCCGCACTGGCAAGTTCATTTACAAGGAGGAAACATTCTGAAAAGTCTTAGAACGTACTTCTCTTTGAATGTGATTAAATATCTGTACATGTAAGATTAATTTGATGGAATACACTTCCACTATTTGTCTATGTAGATGGATACCTTATTTCCATACAGCCAATCGAATCTTGAATAAAACTGTAAAGTCACACTCGGCCAGACAGCAGCCTGGTGAGCAACACAAGAGCCACAGACTTTGAAAAACAACTCACACTAGCTTAAAGACGTCTCCTTCTTATCTAACTTTTAAAACAGAAACACACGTTTTGTCTTGCACTTGTTGAATGAGCGATATTTCCTGGTATACATGATAAACATGTTCCCTCACTGGTGCCACCATGCCATTTATTGTATATGTATAATAATTTGTGAATAAATTGATTCTGATATTTAACAGTGAGTAATGCTTTAAACCAGACCAGGGCATATATTACATTTATATCTCCCATCAGAATTCATACTATGTGCTGTTAATCAGTGGAAGGCATTCTGTATCCATTGGTGCTTTGCATGCATTCACCACCAGCAGTATATTGTTGTGTTTTAGGTGGCTCCGAGTTTGTGCATTGTCAGGCCAGTGCCGTGTATCACCACATTGTTGCGTGGTAATTTTTCATGGGTATTCGGTATACTGGTGAGCTGCTGATGGAAAGAAAACAATATGTCAAATGCTGCAAGCTTATTATAGCTGATCAATATTGGCTTGCAAGCCATTTCTTTGCTGCTGACAGCTCGGAGGTTGCTATCTGAGTTGTGTCATGCCTCAGTCAGGTAATAAGGATTGAGGAGAAAAAATGCAGACATACGCACAGGAGGCTATACTTACTTACTAGATATAATGACACAGAACGCGTGTGCGAGGGAGAGGAGGGAAATGGGGGTGGGGGGGACTAAATGGATAGATTGACAGATATGGCCTAGGGTGTGACACAGATAGAAGCTGTTGAGTTCACTTCCGAAGTTGTATTAGTGCAATTTTGTGAACAGATACGGCTTGGGCAGTATCTATCTTTTCATACCGTCTTGTCATTTTACTCAGTTTTTATGGATTTTTATTTTTTTAATATTATAATCATCAAAAATCATAAATAAATTTGTAAGCTGAGAAAGTCATTGTAGTATGTATGCCATTGTGTAGCCTACAAAGCTCAGTGTCTAATATGCAGTTAGCCTACCTAGACAAGTCTTGCTGGGTTTAAATTAGGGCTGAATGATTAATAGCATTTGCGATATTATTGCGATGTAATAAAACAAGATTTTCTAATCGCAAAGGCTGCGATTACACTCTGGCTTACTTTTACACTCTGTAAGCGTATTGTG